TTTTTTCATTTGAAATGAGGTATTTTAGCATCCTGGACAGGCAGAACGTATAAACAACACTCAGCTGTGTATTTTGAGCATGTGCAGATAGAAAAAAAAGAAAAACTTTGGCTTTAGAAAGCAAACATAGCTCTTGTTTTCCGTCCCTGATTCATTCTGGGTGTCATGGACGCTAAAACATCTCATTTCAAATGAAAAAATCCAAAAAATTCCAAGTGAAAAAAGTTGGTATTTTCGGTATCGGTATTCATACCGAAATACCGGTATCGGTGCATGCCTCATTTTACTCTAAAAAGCATACACAGGCTTTGGCTGCGAACCTAAGCTTTTCAGAATTCGACTTCAAAATGGCCGAATTATGGACTTTCTGAGCACGACGATATTTTCTTTAATTAATTATATTGGGCTAAACCAGTCATTAAACACTTTTCATTAATCCAGTCCGATTTGGTTAATTGAAAACTCTTGCTAGCAAAACCATTGTTACACCACATTGGTTTAGTTTTTTTAGAGCATAGAGAATTAGATATGGAAGAACGGTACTGGTTACATTAATAGTAATAAGAACTGTGGTAAAATCCTTGCTCAAATGAATCCTGGAAAGATCTTCTCCAGACGATTCTTCTTCGGAAAGTTCTCGTCCGGACATTTTTTATCCGCACAGATCTTACTCCAGGACACCTCTTACCAGGACAAATCTTACTCTATGCTACTCCTCTGCAGAGGACACTTCTCACTGCAGGACACTTACTAAGATACCTTTGCTCTTCCTATACACTAAATAAGGGCTTTCTGTACTACCAATTGCTTTTACTAATATGATATAACAGTCATTAATATATATCTACACATGAAAATGAAAATAGATAGTAGAAAACAGTAACGCACCTATATCTAACCATGTAGCTATCGTTATGTATCAATTCAACAACACAATTATGGTATTTTACTCAAATTAAAAAATGTCGTAATTATGACTTTTTAATTGGTTGTCTTTCACCGGCTTCTGCTTGTGCTATTATTCCATCAACATAACTTTGTTCAATTTTTTAATATTTAAAAAATCTCCATAAATTTGAATGTGAACAATTGATGATAAACGGTTGTTTTATCCCTCTACAACATTATTAGTACGATGATGATCATTCCATGTATTTTTATTTGTATTCCATAATTCTAAAGCAAATTTAGATGTTTTGCGTGGACGTGATAAACGATCTTTCATATCAATATATGTGTGATCAAAATAATAAATGACTGGTTGCACTTGCACTGGAAATTGATATTTTAATTCTCCAAATGTTGGGATGATGTTAGCAGCTGGTAAAAACGATAAGGTAGGTAATGCACGTATTTGTTGAGAAAAATCTGAATCGTCGCCATATGATTGCGTTAAGCCAGACTGTTGAACAGAACGATATGAAAATTTGAAATTTTGCTCAAAAGTATTTTTTCCTGAAACAATACCCTTTTTTTTAATTATTTTATCGCCAGTTTATAGCGCGTTTTCCACTCTACAAAATCCGCTATAAACAATACCTTCACTATACTTTCTTACTGAGTTGAAAAACTTTTTTCATCTGATGTCAGTAAAGGATCAAACTTTTTAAAAAAATATTTTTTGAGGAACGATCATAGTTTCAAACCAAAACTCAAATATGGTTAGATGCGCAATAAAATTCTCTATCGAATCTGCTATTCAGCTTTTTGATACTTTCAAATTTTTAAATTCGGCAGGGTCCTTTGGACGGTTATGTGATATGAGATAGTATTAATTCGAACTGTGAACCTTGAACACTGCTTTTGTCTGGATGTATCTCAGGATCCCGATTGAAATTTCTAAATGCAGTGAGAAGTAGTTCTTGATCGACTGTCAGTAAATGGAAATCATTATTACCATTCATCATAGCATTCAAATGTTGATTGTATTGATTTTATAGTGTTTATATTGTACAAGGTCGTGTTTTACTTTAACGCGAATTCGATTCGAGAAAATGACATCAAATACACATCTGTTCACTTTACTATTATTCGGAAATTTTCGACTAACTATCATCTAAAAGAGAAACACTACAATGTCAAACATATGCAATCACTCGCAAGATTATTTCAGCAGTGCTCTTTTCATCGTTAGATCAATTTTCTTTCGTCAAACAGAAGAAACGGAAGAAAACTACTATAGAATTGGAATCTATCGCTGAAGTCTCGAACCGGCTATCTATACTACTGTGGGTGCAAACTACGATCCAGGTTTATAGAAAGAATCCAGCATTGTAGATAAGGGAAGCCGTCAAAAGTCCCATCGGTGAATATTTTCATATAAAGTGAATATTTTCATATATAACAGAATGACGATATATGTATATATTCTTTTCTGTACTGTACTTGACTGGATGTTTTTTTTCTTTCTATGCACACTATAGAGAGAGATATAAAGCAAGAAATGAAGAAAAGAACAAATTTTATCGTTGATTTTTTTTTTGAATTTTATCGTTTCTTTCTACGATGTTTTTTTAGACTCGACAAAACTGAAAAGGGTTTTTTCTTTTTGATAAAAACTGCCCGTTTTTCATTTTGCATCTTTCACGAACGCTTTTTAGTTTTTTGGATATAAAAAACGGAAAAGCGTTTTTTTAAAAGGTTTATTGGTCTCAATAAACCCTTTTTGATAGTTTATTAATCTACGACTATTTTTTACAGTGCACATACTAGCATCGAAGTACTGTCACAACGTAGTGAACATGCTATCGGACGGATGATCCGAGACAATAGCCGTTAGTAACTTGTCCAAGATTATTCTATGACTGGGTGGCGCCGAGGTTCGAACACGGTATCTTTGAAGTACGTACAACATAACCACTCAGCCATAGTGGCTTCTATATATGACAAGCATCAACATGCTGATCTTCAGTTGTTCGTGCTCTTCCCCGTTTACTTGATCACAGAGGTCTTCCACGTGACAACTGTTTCTATAGAACTATTATTGTTTCGTTTTATTTTAATACAAATACTGCATTTTTTCTTTTTATGCTGAACAGAGAATGTGAGAGAAAAAAAAGACATTCTTTTCATACGACAACGTGTGTTAAAGCAAATAATGCTCGGTATCGCATGAATGTATCGAAATTCAAAGCAGAATTTCATCTTTAAGAAACAGCTCAAAAAGGTAACCAACACCATACTTTTTTCAATAAAGGACAATAAGCTCAAACTATCCGAAAATAGATAAAGGTACTTTTACACTCCTATCAAACTTGTGCTATTTCCCGAGAGATCGACCTTTTCCACCGTGGAATCGCAATAAAAATTTACTCCCTCGATTACCAATTTAGCAACGCTATAAGAGAACCTAGAAACTATGCCAACTTGTTCTCCTATGTGTTTCATGTGGAAGGAATCGCTGATACGTGCACTTTAGAGCATGATGAAATGGCATATACGAAAAAACATGATTGTGACTAATGTTCATCTGATTGTTGTCCTCAGACTGTTTGTCACTAATTTTTTCGAACGTCTTGTTATTCTTGCAATTAGAAAAAGGCGAATTTATCTGACGATATGTTCGATACCAAATAATCACCATGTCAACTGCTGACGCATCAATTTCACATGATTTCGACCAAGCGGAACTAATGGCAACAAACAATGAACTATTCCGTGGACGTCTTACGCATGTGCCTGATCATAAATCAACTTCAGTACGAGTTTTCATTAGTTCAACCTTCACAGGTAAGCTTCCTTCTTATGGATGGATTAGGAATCATCTTAATTTCAATGACAGATACAGTCGAAGAACGTGACGCACTGATTTCATCCGTTTATCCAAAACTACGAGAGTATTGCCAACAAACATATAACATTCAATTTCAGGTTAACTACTCTTCTACTGATTCTATTCATCACTTATGTGCGTGTCTTTAGTATACGGACATGCGTTGGGGCGTTCAAGATCAGGCTTCGTATGACCATTCGACGGTCGATACATGTCTGAAAGAATTATCTCGATGTTGTAAACTCTCCTTAGCCACAAATTGTATTGTAAGCTTTTCGAACTAGTACTTGCTGTTTATACACGTACAAGAACTGATTCTTCTAGGTATTGTTAAGCCACCGGTACGGAAGTCGAATGTTACCTGTACGTATTGACGAGCATGTCTTTCGAGCGTTAGAAGATGTTCTCTCATCGGATGATAAGGCTCTTGTAAGTAAAGTGTACCAACTCGACGAAAATCTACTCAATCCTGTTTACGTTCTTCAACCAATCGATCCCAGCGCCAAAAAAGAATGGGAGACGATCAATAAGAAGCTTCAAACTGCTCTACGTGATGCTTCCGATCTCTGCTATTTACAAAAGAAGAGTATTAGTGAAAGTGACAGAAATGAATTTCATATCTCCGGTAGGTTTATTCTCTAATCTTCTTTTAACAATATTCTAATCGAAATATTCAGTAACGGCTCAAGAAATTTATCAAGCACTGGAAAGTAATCGAAATCAGCCAGAACGTATCGTTGTCTTCTTCCGACAGATTGAAGACATCGACGAGTTCGATTCGAAAATGAAACCAAAGTTTAACGATACTATCGATGATGCAACCGAACCCTTACTTGCAGAATTGAAGACGACTATTCAACATACCCTTCCGTCAGAGAATATATTTACATATCGGGTTAGTTAGAATAGATAGTCCTATCACTGAAAGCGATAAAGTTGATTTTAAGGTTCGATGGTGTGACGAATCAAGCAGATCTATATATTTGATTCAATTTAAAGACGATTTCTATACAGCCATTCAACGACAAATCGATTATCATATGACGAAAACTCGAACGAAAGAAATTTTATACGACGAAGTTTTAGAACATGCGATACAATGTAAAACACTGAATGAACGTTATTTTCCACGTGATTATCTACTTGCACAAGTCAGTATTGACTTTTGTTTTCTGCAGCAAATTTGATTGACCTATTCTATAGATAAAAAGTTATGTATTGTCAAATGAGACAAGGCCATGCACGATTTATGGTGAGTCTGGCACAGGAAAGTCATCTATTATGGCTGAAGTGGCGATCAAGGTGAATTGCACATTGTCTGTCTCTATAGACTCTCACATGTATGTTTCTCTTAAGAGTCCTGATTGGTTTCCAGATCCAAGCTCGGTCTCGATTATCTTTCGTTTTCTGGGCACGACACCGTTGTCTAGTGACATTCGTCGACCACTTTTCTCGATTATGAAACAAATCTGTCTTATCTATCATCTCGAAATGCCTTCTGTTGACGAGTTCAGTAAGCCAGAAGTTTTGAAGAAGAAGTTGGAGAGACTTTTAACTCTAATTCCGACTAGTGAACGACTGATTTTACTATTTGATTCTATTGATCAGCTGCAAGTGGAAGACTATGATTGTTCCAAGTGGTTGCTGACAAAGTATCCACAGAATATTAAATGCATCTTATCTACAATACCCACTATTTCTGACAAAAAACGGGATCCTCCAGCTACCTATGAGATTCTTAATGGATTAAAATCTTTATTGGCCGATGCACCAATGGTACAGATAACCGAATTCGATGAACAGTCAGCAATGCAAGTGTTTCAATCATGGTTAAAACGCGATCATCGGCGGTTGACATCACTACAAATAAGTTGGTTAGAGCCCAAACTGCAACCTCATACAGTTTTCACGGGATTTTATGAAACAGATTCGGAACCGACGCCACTGTTCCTCTCGTTAATATACGATATAACCCTTCAATGGCACTCTTACGATGAAAACCCCGATGAAGATTTCAATGGAGTCGAAACAACAAGCACTGCGATTAATTATTTATATACACAATTATCCAAAAAGCATAATGAAGTATTCTTTAAACGAGCAATGGCATATCTTCAGCAAGCCGGTGGTTTGAGTGAGATCGAATTAGAAGACATGCTAAGTGCTGACAACACTGTTTTGCAGGCCATTTTTGTTCATTATCTTCCACCATTGCACACTTTTCGAATACCGAGTACTTTGTGGGTTCGTATTCGTAATGATATGCAAAACTATTTAACAGAAAAGGATATTGACAATACGCCTGTCATCTACTTGTAAGTAAATCTTCATCACAAATCACGCTATTTATGATTTCTTCGATCGATTTCTTCTTGTACCACTGGAGACCGCCCTTCATTTTGAAAAAAACTCTGCAAATGTTCTGTTTGTTCATTTATTCGTCAAGTCGAACTATTAAATCTCCCCAAGCCTGGGTACTTCTTCTAGTTCATAGTGCAATAAATCCCTAAAGTTACGACATGAACTGTTATCTTGAGGACAGCGATACCGAGTAATTGTTATCACCACTAAGCGAGTCATGCGAAAATAAACTTGAAGAAGTCCTATACCTCGCAACGCATTAGTCTCGAATTAACTATGGTTGGAGTTTGCAATCAGTCTTTAGGTGCCTAGTGTCTTTCTTTATGGAATTCTATTTAATTTCGTGGAGATTGTGTTAGCAGTTTTTTCTCTTCTTTAGTTATCACCGCAGCTTTCGAGACTATGAAGTATTGGATGGAGAAGAGAGCAAGTCCGTCGATCTCATTCGATGTGCTTACTTCGCTGATAATACCGCTGGTTATCCCAATTTGCTCGAACAACCCTTCGAAATTCGTTCTCGAAAGCTTATTGAAAGAAACAATGGTATTTCAACACTGCTTGTCGATCGGCGCCTGACACAACAATCACCCTACATATTCCGAAATAAGCAGCAACACTGCACGTACAATATGCGACGAATCAATCAGCTTTGTACGTTTATTGATAGTAGTTGCAGTGAACCATACTTTCTCTATGATTATGAATTCATGTCCAGTTATCTTCAATGCTACAAAATGAACGATCGATTAATACCGAGAAGTCCATATCCTCGAGTTCGATTTCTTCTTACTCAATATCAAGCTATCTCAGACACTGTTGATCAGTACCCGAAGAATTTTGCTTTCGAAATTGTCTCTCGATTGCTTCCGTTGGTTGATGTTCTACCTGATCCACTATGCAATTTACTTGACCGGTGCCAACGACAATGTGTGCTCAGAATACCACCAAACGAAATGAAATATTCTGATTTGTATTTAAATCGACGTTTGGTTGGTACCGTTCATGCCATCAGTAGCACTCTCTTTTCTGTATTCATACTTCTTCCAGGAAAACTTATAATTATTCGAACAGATATTAATCGGTGGGCTGGTCAATATGAAGAGCACGACCTACCATCAAGTGATTTCATTTCACTGAAAAGTCATCCCGAATTCGTCTGTGTTTATTCTTCCCAAGCTCTTCTCATCCTTGAGTGCATGCATACTCAGAAATGGACACTCCAATTGAAGGTCGATAACCTGACAGATGTCGATTTTCTTCTCAAAAATGCCTTATTCGTTTGTTCGAAAAACAGCAAATCGATCGATCTTTGGAGCTGTTTGAAAACGAAAATGATTGGTCAGTGTAAATTCGATGAATTGATTCTGGAATGTTCTACCTATAAGGCTACTCAAGGTGCAGTGATCAGGGTTACTCTAGAAAATAAGTCGACTCATTATATACTAGCAAATGCGAAATATGATGAGGAAAATATCGCTTATGAAGTGAGTTTTAATACTATTGCTGTTCTCAAAGATCCACCAGGCCGTGAGAGCGTTTTTTTCAATTCAGAAACTGATGTTTATTATTCTGAAGGACAGTGCGATCTGTTTTTCTATCATTTCAATCGTCCTGAAGATAGTCGACTGGAAAAAATCGGTCCTTCACCTCCTGTTCATCATCAACCATTTAGTCGACAGTTCTTTTCCAGAAAACTTCATGATACTCTCATTTGGTTGAGTACTAACTCGATCGTTGTTTTCCATTCCTGTGGCAATCATTTCATTATTCACGGCGAATATCGTAGTGTCGATGCTCCCAGTGATTTATCAATACGTAACGATTGTCATGATTCGATTTGTTGTCTTCATCAAAATGCATCTGTCATCGATGTTTTCCAATGGCAATGCCATGAAAACGAACATTCGTACCGTTTACTCGCTCGACTTAACCTTGACCAGCAAGTCATGCATTATGCATGCTGTATAAGTAAGTTTCATTTCATTCAGAAGATGAATGTGATTTGGTTATTGATTGAAATTCTTCATCATGCGCTTTTCCTAGGACTGGAAAATGGAATTACTTTATATGCTACTTTGGACAGTGGTGAACTTCGTCATTACAATATGACAATCACTACTTATCTGCCTGAAAAATTCCTTCGTTCAGTAGAAAAAAGGCAAAGTCAGGAAACAGTGGATAGCTTGGAAATTCAAGGCAATTTTCTGGTGACACTTGACGTGACAAAATGGTAAGTTAGAGGTGACGATTATTGAGCGAACTCATAGGAATCCATCATTTGTCAGGAAGGTTTTAGACATCGGCAAAGGTGAAGCACTCGTCGGCGTTCCGAATAGTCTCAGTCATCTATTGACGACGTTCATTTATGCGCACGAATGATCATTGGCCGACAGAAGTGTGCTCAATAAATGTCACGAAACTTTCAACAAAAGAAAAACAATGTGTCTTAAGTTAGGCGTATCGTGCGTGGGGGAACTCCTCCCAACCTTGGAAAATGTCCATTCCTCACCGATGGAACAGAACGAGCGTTAGGTATTTTCCTCACCAATCTTAGTGACCTCGAGATACTCCTGAACTAAGTTCTTCTCAAAATGCTAAAATACGACTTTACAAATTTCCTCCGTTCTAGCTCATTGAAGTTATTCTCCTTTGCCGATCAACTATCATTGGTGGTACAACTGCGCACTCGCAATCCCATCACTCAATTTGCCATTATCTCAACTTACATTCTCCTTTTATGTACGGATAATTGTCTATTGAGTTATCTTATCTGTTCCACACTTGAACTTTTGCTTGAAAAAAATGAATTTCATTATGAATTAATTAAGATTCATTCACTTGGACATACTTTCTTTATCATCGATGGTGAAAAATGTCAACTTCTTCGAATTGATACCCAGTCTCCATTCAAATTACAGACTGTCACACATATCAAGTTTAGCATCGATATTCAATTGACCTTCACATTAGCCGAACAATCGAAATTGTTCATCGTATCCAGGGATTACTCTTCATTAGCGATTTGGAATGCTAATAGTAATACTCTGACATATCAATCGATACCGTTTGATCGCCATCCCCGAATCAACAGAATACTCGCTCTTCCATCTGCTTTGGTCTATCGTGATAGTGAAGCTCAGGTATATTTATATGAGAGTGAGCCAGAAATGAAAAGGATTCTTCTCGGTCGAGCAGATGTTTTCGAAAGCATTGGTCAACGTTTGGCTCTATTCGATCAAGCTAATCGTAGACTGATCATGTACGATGTTAGTAGGAAATTACGTGGCACTATTCGTTTGAGAACCCCGTTGAAGACACTATGTTTCACAGGCGATGGCCAATATCTATTAGGAATATCCTGCGAAAAGTCATTATTACTCATGTATAGTGTAAATAACGGGAAACTTCTTCAAAAACTTTTCTTCGATAATCTATCACCTTGGCTTCAGGCTACTACGGATCGCCTCGTTTTATATCGTAGAAATGAACTCGTTCTATTGGTAGTCGCAGGAAAAGGCGTCACTTTACCAGACAGGTACGCAGAAATCATTTGATATTATGTTGAAAGAATTAAATCTGATTTTTTAGTAGTCTACGGGAAACCTCTCCATTATTTGAAAACAAGCAATGGTTTGATTGTCATCTGAAGAAAGAATGGACGAAAGCAAGCTAATCTAATTTGTCGGATAAGGCAAAAGATCCATTGATTCTGGCAATTGTCACTAACAAATGGGATCCACCCGGTTTTTTTCCTCTAGCTTGTTGTAGAATGGCATTATTTTCACCAATGAAACTAATAAAAAACAAAACTAACGTTTTGAAAAACTGTGATAACGACTATTATCTTCAGCCTGAAGCATAACTATTCTATATCAATCATTTTAAATGCCGGTGCAAGTATTTTGAGTCGCATTATCGTATGTGTTCTGGTGACTCCAGGTCGAATGTTTCACCAGTGGAAGTCATGATGCAATAGATGACAAAGATTCACGCCGGAGAATAGGCTAAGTTCCAAGGTAATTTGTTCATGTGATGCTAAATCTATTTTACCATTTTTCGCAAGAATATACACTTCTACTACTGCAAGTGATTCGCATCTTTTATACATGCACCTCTCACCTAGAGCTATAGCGTATACTAAAACTGTGAATGCCGGCGTTAGGGTTGTTGTTTGTTCTGAATTGGTCACTATATTTCATATCATGTATTTCGTTTGTCCGTGTAAATGTCAATTTCTAGTGGAAAACGAAACGACAAGATACCATCTCTTTTAACTTGCAAGTAGAAAATAAAGCTGAATTCGAGGGGAATCGTCCTCTTTATATCTATAGTGAGTTGTCATCGATCTTCTTATTCTCCGACGGATGTTGTTTCGAGTAATAACTAATGTTCTCTAACGAAGCAAATGGAGTCGAGGAATTGATGGGTCAACTTCCATTTGAAATAAAACTCCCGTCTTGAGCACTCTTGACAAATGCAAGCGAGACTTCTTGAGCGCTACTGATCGACAAAAAATTGTTAAACGAGAGAAGACTACCTGTGCTTTTCTTCATCTTCTCAAAGGCCACATTTGACACTCCTTGTCTTCGATAAAGGACCATTTTTGTAGTCGAATGAGTCTCTGAATGTAATCGTTCAATTTGTTAATAAAGATCTCGTAGGAAAAAACCTATTTTCATAATAATTTCAATGTCTTGTGTTCTCAGGGTTTTATTAAGTACGGAGTATACAAATGACTCTTTTGTACCACCAAACTGGCGATGGTTGATTGTACTTTTCTTCAAAATCATTGATTACTTTCAACAGCATATCGTTATCTGCATATTGCTGCCGACAGAAATCGACGAATTCTGTTCACTAAGATCAACAGAAGAGGTGATGGAAACAATACTGATTGATGTTAAGTTAATATAGGACCGATGAACATTCCGTTCGGGTGCATTACAAACAGACTCGATTTTGAGCGAAGACTCTGTACACTTTTTTACACTCGTTTGTCTAGTCTGCATGTTCTTGTTGATGACTACAGAAATCGAATGCAGCTGCAGAATATCTTGGATGAAGAACACTAACGGTGGGCCAAGATAACCCGAGATCGGGTACTGGTCTTGTCGTAATTAAAGTGTTCTGATCGTGTTTTCAAAGTTTGGAAACTCAGTTACATACCTTAAGGTCCACTCTATTCGGAATGTCAAATTGAAACTGATTATATAAGACAGTTTATCTGACTCTGGAAATTTTAATAGAGAGGAAATCTCGTGGAAAAATGGAACTTCTTGAATTGAAAGAATATCTGTTAAAATAGTTAAAGATTTCTAGGAAAAGTTGAAGAATGGATTTTTCCAGTTCAAAACCTTGCTCGTCTACAGGATATAAGAAAGAATAAGCAAAAACATTTTCGTCATCATTTGCTTTCTGAATGGAAAGAGTTTATTTCTTCTTTCTTTATTTTGCGTTCTCCAATCTACGTAAAAAGCAAGTCAAATACATATAGTACTACAGTCTGTTCCTTTCTCATGAGAATCACGCAAGGAAATATTTTGGATACTCAAGACAAAGGCAGCATACTTTCAAATAGATTATGTATCAAAGCATATCGAATAAAAATTTGACAGCTTTAAACGTTTTCGTTTTCAATACTGAAGAACGAGAGCTAAAGACTTCTTTCAATCAGGCTTTTTTGCTATAGTATATTAAAAACTGATCAAAATCAGTTCAATATGCAACTTTTCGCAAGTAATTAATGTAAATATGAGTAAGAGTTGATTCTACTATTCATCTGACCCTATGTGTGAGTTTCGGCTGGGGAACTGCTCATAGGGTCTCTTTTGGTGAATTTTCAGATAAAGTGGCTTCGATGGTGACTAAGGTTAAGGAAACTCAAAACTTTGAGCGCTGTTTTTTTATATTTTGATAGAGCTCGACGCACTGCACTGAATGCGTACAATTTGTTGTTTTTTTCGCTCTTTTAGTCTGCTCTTTAAAATAATGAGTAACACTGGAAAAGTCTGAAAGCAAAAAAAGCTGAAATTTTACTATCGTACATCAGAAAAACTTAAGAAAAGTCTTATTTCGAAGAAAAATGTTTGGTCTACAAAATTGTTCATGCAAAAAATTTTTATCTATCGAAAGGTAATGGATAAAGGTTTTCTTGAGAAACCCGGGATTTTTCAGACTTGATAGAGCCATACAAAACTTAGATGAACCAAAATCTGCCTACTTTACACTCTAAAAGAAAGTGTACTCAAAACGGCTCTTTTTAGGAAACTCGTTTCCACTAAATACTCTTCAGAAAGATCACTTTTAAAGTGCTCACCACATGAACAATTTTCAAAAGTGATCTTCAGTAAAATACTTTTGACCAAAGGTCACTTTCAGAAAAAGTGAGCTGAAGTGCTAAACGTATTCCAAAAAAGAACAATTTTTGAAAGTACTGTTCAGTTTAGCAACTTGAAAGCGCTCCCAAAAAAAAGCGTAGGAAATAGGAACTGTTCTTTTCAGTTGCACATTTTTTTTCAGAATAAAAACGTACTAGTTATCATTTGTGATTTCTCTATTTTTCTACTTTTTCTTTTTCTTTTCGTCTAGTTGAATATGACCATCTTTAGTGATATATCATTGTATGTCAAGCTATTATGTTTATATGTTTTCAGTGTCTCTTTTAGTAATCTTTTGATTTCATTTCTTTCATAAGCCAAAACACACACATGGTATGTCAAGTTCTAATGTGTCATTGTTTTCAGTGGCATGAAAGAAAAGTTTTGAATAGGGATCTGTTTTGTTTAGTATCTCTTGATGCTAGTCCATTCTAGTATCGACTTCATTTCCAGTTTGACCGACGTAAATATTAGCATAATCACTACACTCTGTACTATAGACAACTCCTACTTTCCGTTCATCCTTTTGCCTTTATATTTATGTGACAGAATACTGCCTATTATTTGATATTTTTTAAAACCAAATCTAGTGTTTGTGATTCCATATTTAATCAGAATTCTTTTTAAACTCGATACAAATTTTCTTGGCTCGTTATCAGATAATAGAAACAAACATTGCCTTCTACTTTGCTTCGAGATTTATTAACATTTTTCGATGAGTTAAGAAGGATATTATTATTAGTATATTTCTCGAATGTCGTTTTAAGGCGTCAAATGATCGCGCACATGTTCATTAGATCCGCCGTGACCGATAACATCTAGCAAAATATCGACAAATTATTTAATGCTCAAACACTTTTTAAGTAAAACGCGTTTAACAGAATCAGAACTTATTTTGCGTTTTTCTGAAGACTGTATTTTAGCTTCAGGGCTTTCGCCATTCACAGGAATTCTCCATAACGATACATCGGAGGAAGTTTTTCTTTATTTTGATTTGTAGATAACACCTATAGGTAGGAGTTGACAGAGTCCGACTTTTAAATTATGCTTCTATTTTTTATAGAAATGAGGATTTCTAAGAAACCTTCCGAGGATTTTTCGGATTTTAAAGTTTTATTAAGCACTAGAAATCAGTAAATGAGAAATTCAAAAATCGGGTCTCTCAACTCCTAGGCATAGGTGCTGTTATAGGCTCTAATAGTTCTTCTGATACTGATTTCACCCGAGAAAACCGGGTAAACATGGTGAAACCAGTAGATTTAGAGAACCTTTTAAAGCTTCTAACAGTGCTCACAATTACAGATAAATCAACCTGAAATGGTTTGTTGTGAAACCGAGATCTTGCCGCGATATAAGCAATTTGAACACGGCCCTATCGCGAAACAGTAGATTTCAATAGGCGAAACAAGCAAATTTAGTCACCATCTTGTCGCGATCCTGTAGCGAACTATTTCCGAACACAACCGCAGATTTTTCGCGAAACCCGAGAAATTTACGAATATGTGCGTCCGCGATAGCGATCGCGATTCAAATCGGGTATTGCGCGGCAAGGTTGTGGTAAGATTACTATGGCTTCGCGACGCGCAATGAAGCGTGGATTCTACTAGGGTGCTTTTCCACCAAGGGGGCATTTCTCAGAGTTGGATCATATAATATGTAAAATTCATATCCTCTTAGCACAAAGTTATGAAAAGTTTGGGGGGAAAGTTAGGGTGAAAATTCTGTTTCTCCATTCTACTTATCTACCCGCTGCAACCGGTACTAAAGCGGCTTAACGGGTTTGTCCCGCTGCAGCTAGCTGCATCTGCTAAATTTTACTCTTTTAGCTAGCTGCCGCCAATTGAGAAGCGCGCGCTTCTTCAGTAAGACTAGTTAGCCTATTTCTTATGAAATTTCCTGCTTAGGTGAAGCTGGAGCATATGAAATATTCCGAGGGGTATCCTAAAGTTAAAGTATTTACCGTTATTTTACAATCCAATTCAGTGGAAAGAAAGATAGAGAACAAAATAAAACATTGGTGCTCCAGCTCCGAAATCCGAATTTTTTTCTAGAAGGAACCATTGAGCGAGATCATTGTTCGACAGTCTATGGAAAACTACCATGCTCAGGTCGCACTTCAGAAGACTTTCGCGAAACCTGTTTGGACACTTTCTCGTAGATTGTCACATCAAAATAACGGCCTGACTCGTCATTACTGACGGAAAAGGCGTACATTAAAAAGAGAAAGAAAATAAATGGTAATGTGTCCGTGCACGGTCCATTCAACACCTGGTTATATATAGATTGGAAATACTTT